GTATGTATGTTGTATGTATGTTGTATGTATGTATGTATGTATGATCAAAACACTCTACTGTGTTGATACTATGGTAGAAAACCCACAATGTAAAAACTAGATTTATTGAAAGTGAGACAACAGTTTCGGAATCCACTTGGATTCCATCCTCAGGTCAGGTCAGACATGAGGATGGAATCAAGGTGGATTCCGAAACTGTTGTCTCATCTTCAATAAGTCTAGCTTTTACATTGTGGGTTTTTCTACCATATATGTATGTATGTTGTATGTATGTAAGTTGTATATATGTATATTGTATGTTGGATATATGTATGTTGGATATATGTATGTTGTATACATGTATGTTGTATGTATGTATGTATGTATGTATGTGTATGTGTATGTGTATGTGTATGTGTATGTGTATGTGTATGTGTATGTGTATGTGTATGTGTATCTATGCGTGTGGGTGTGCGTGTGCGTGTGCGTGTGCGTGTGCGCATTTTTTTATGTAGGCCTAACTGGATATATACCATACCTGGTAGATAGCCAAAGCAACAGCACTCGCAAAGAGGGTTGTTGCCAGACCCATCAAAAAGCATCGACATTTTGAGACAGGAGTATGAGTCTGTGGAGAGAAAGAAAAGGGTGTCAGACATTATAATAAACAATTTTATTTTGTAATAAGATATATACCAAGTTACACAATCATTCAAATTATAATTCTTTTACTGCACCTAAAACTAAACCCTGTATAGCCATTCACAATTATAGTATACCACAGACCAGACTTTCATCCTTAATATCTGTATCCCTGAAACAATAGATTCTGTACTGCTTTTTATATCACCTCAATGTCTAGTACATGCTGTATTCATGTTATCAGTCCAGGAACTTTCCTCTGACAACACTATTTATAGAAACTGACTGAGAAGTGCCATTTTAGATACTGCTACAGAAAAATGAAAATTGAAAGACAATGGAATAAGAGCAAAAGTCAAACCCAGTTGTTCCGAGCTCAGATACAAAAGGTTAATCACCCATTCATATACTAATTATGGCAAGTAGACAAGCAGATGGAAATTTCATTATAGTATCAATCAAATATTATAAATCACCATATCAATCGAGAACACTGTCTGGACATTCCCTGGTTTACTGGCGATCATAATTTGTAACTATGACTATATCAATGAAAAAAATCCAGACACTCGAGCAGACAGGCCTTTGAGCAGAATACTTTAAAATATGACTCCATATTAAATCAGAAGAATAGTTTAAAACAAAATGGAATAATGAGAAGAACGATGTGAAAATAAAATGAGACAAATCTATCAATTCCACAAAATCAACAGTGATCTTTTTTTTTTATCTGGTATATTAAAATAAACATTTAAATTAAATACTTCACTATGGTATTTGATTCCATTAATCTTTATACTAGGACCATGGCAAAGAGGAATAAAAATAATAGTAGTGACACACAATACATAAACAATATATACAGAATATGAACAAGACATTGCAAATCATACAAGTAGCAACCTTCATAAGGCTCCAATTTCTTTCTTGTGTCATAACCATATACAAACCATCTTGGTGGATATCAGTCATGTGACCAAGACAAGTCACCTCCTACAAATGTGCTATACAATTTTTATTTTAAGTTATAATATATCTCAAATTATCATTCTTTTAGTTAGAAACACAAATTACAGTCAACCATTCAGTATGCTCCCAGGGATATTCTAAGGTTTCCGAAGACCTTTCACAAGGACTTTGGTGACATTGAAGTGTTAAAATCCTTCCAGACAAAACTACTCATGTTTCCCAATATTCTATTTCCTTTGGCATATGATATTAGGTTCTAGGTTTTAAGCTCAGACTTTTCAATTCTGTAAATTCATTTCCACTAATGAGATATCATAGGCCACTTTACATGTTCTATTAATAAGAACCATTTTGATTAAATGCACATACATATGTCTAAACTTCAGTCACTATTAACACTTTTTGTTTTGTTCAACAATTCATCTGGGGCTTATTTTAAAGCGGATTTATTGAATCTTAGTACAGTATGCCTATAAAAGAAGTTGAGATATGTGTCGACTGGTTTCAGTGTTTTGGAATAAATAACCACCGTTCACAGCACGAAATGAAAACTTTATTGCTCCCCAACCAAAAAATCTACATTCAGCGAGCTTAAATAAAATGTACTCAACCTAAGTAACACACTTCCATTCACAGGAGAGAAAATTTCACACAAAATGAATATTAACAATCGCCCTGATACGTAAGACAATGGCACTCTACTTCCGCTTACCTTTACGAAATAGGAAAAAAATGCAATTCCTTTCCACATACCCTTGTCTGATGTTCAGGATCCACCAGATTCTGCGAGGACATTGAAGGTTTTGCCTTTTTATAGCCGTACATGGTTTATACGGGAATTAAATAAGGTCATATGACTACGTCTCACGGCTTTTGCGTCCTTCCCCTTGCGATTGCCAGCTGACTACTG